GGAGGACTATAAAACACCAACTAGTAATGCAAAAGATCTTGAATTTACTTCTATATGGATACATTGTAGGAAAAATTTGTCTGTTGAAGTCACTTTCCTCTGTGAAGCCTTCTCTGATTTTCCTCAGGTGAAAATTATTCCTACTTTCTCAAATTTTCCTGTTGCTCTAAGTCTGTACCTTTCCTTTGTACCTGTTTTGCCCAATTTATACCATACGTATTTGTGTAAAAATAAGATTCTTGATAATAGGACTTACCACTTTATAACCTCAGTGATAGAGATGCTGAATTAAATGCTTATTAAATTGAATTCATACCAGGTGTGACGTGCTGGGTGTTGGGTTGTCCTGGGAGTTTGTGAAGGATAATGTTGGAAGTAAAAGTGGTTTGAGTATGTGGAGGTGTTGGGATTGAGGAGACTGTGCAAGATAATGAGGATATGTCAAGTATAAGGGTGTGCTGGGAATCAGCCTCATTTTGTGCTCAGTTTGCAAGCTCAGGGTGAGTTTGTGCTGGGAGCTTACAAGGAGTGAAGTGCTGGGGTTTAAAATGTGTTGAGTTGAAGAATGAGGGTGTGCTGGCAGTGAGTTTCTGCTAGGGGTTAAGACCCAATACCTTCACTTGGTGAAGTTCCATGGTGTGAACTCCCCACTCACTGCATTTACCCACAGAATGAACATGAACATAGCACTGGGCATGTGGGAGTCAGCAATGGATCCAGCTACCAATGTTTTCACTATCATAAGAGGTATCATCTATCTCTGGGCCTCAATTTTCTGTCCAGCAAAACTTCAGGGTCTCATTAACCAAAGACCCAGTGACCTCTACCTTCTAGCCAGTGCTGTAGGGCCGGGAGACAAGAGCTTTGCCTCAGAGGACTGGCTGCCAGCGAGGCATGCTTCCTTCCCAGAGTGAGTCCTGCATCTCACTATTCACTTTCCTCACGATCTTTTTACCAGCACTGTGCTATGGGATTGCCTCTGCTCTCTTGTCCAGCCTGAGGCCACTACCTCCAGGGTCCCATCACCATGGCACCCTTTCTCAGCAGTCACTTCCCTCCTATGCTTCTTTTTGGTAACTAGGAGATTGGGGATTGGGAATAGGCCATTACTCAGGGACCACACTCTCTGAAGGGAATGTGCCATAATTTCCAAGTAAAAGAGCATTTAACAGAAGCAAACTATCTTCTACCTATGACATCAGGCTTGTCTTTCACAGGGTTACAGTGATGTTGAAGGCTGCTGAATGAGGTGGGGATCCTGAGGCCTGCTTACATCCTAGGGGAACTTTCCCCAGCCTTTTCCACCCTTGTACTCCCTCCACCACTAGCCTCCCCAGCAATGGGGTCTCAAGTGATGTCTCAAAATTTCTCTTGATGACTTTAGAGGTCCGTCTCCACATCTTCCCCCCATTTCCCAGAATTCCTAGTTATGACTCTGCTCCCGGGGCTCTGCAATGAACACCCTATCTGTGGCTAAGGCTGAGACAAAGGAGTGGATTAGGGCCTAGAGAAGTGTCCCCCCAATGCCTTTGACTTTGATACCCCAGTGTAGTTATCAGTTATAAGGGCCCAAGGAGGAGATACTCCCTGTAGGAAAAGAGGGTATTAATTAGCCTTGATGATCCCAAAGAATAGTGCCATCATGGGCTTGCTGTAGGGCATCCGGGAGTCTTCTCTGGGGAGAAGCAACCACTGGTGGGGAGATGGGTGTGTTTCACAGATACAACACGCTGAAGTAGAAATGGCACTGGATTTGGAATCAGAAGACCTGAGTTCAAGTTCCAGCTCTGATATTTACTATAAGATCTCGAGTAACTCACTTCCAACCTCACTGTCCTCATCTGTAAAATGAGGAGGTCAGGTTTAATCATTTCTGAGATCCTGTTCAGCTCTAAACCCTATAGTCTATGAGTATTTCTGCATCTCTGCTGCCCCCATGTGGTTAACTAATTTCATGGTTTCCTGTGAGCTCTTCGGGTCAGGATTTAGTATTGAGGAAAGAGGGAATGTATTCCAGGCCTCTAAGACAAAAGACAACTTCTTCCTGGCCCAGGACCACCTTCTACCCCAACACAAGATAAAGAAAGTTGAATGGCAGGATAGGAGTTCCATGGTGTTGGGGTTTTATTAGACTGAATGGACTTTTCCCTTGAATTGCCTTAAAATTTTGTTTTTAGTCCTTCCTGTTGGGGGTCTGGGAGAGTTAGTCTGGGCCAAGACAGGGACCTGGAAAGGGAGTAAGGTGCAGAAGGACCTTCTTGGAGAGCTGTCTCCAAGGACTGGGAGAAGGGAAGTTTGGGAAGTAGGCCCACAAGCCTGGAAGGGCAGAGTGTTTCACACAAGTGGCCTGGATGGTAAGTTCTTGAGACATCTCCATCTTCCATCTAAGGCTTAGGGTGAGACACAGATGGTTAGAGGGTAAGATAGAGTAAAAGTGAGTCACTGGGGGGCCAGTGTGAGGTGATAGATTTGGAAGACACCTAGCATAGAACTTAGGCACCTTATGGATTATTTGATAAAATCTCCTTATTTCAGAGATGAGAATCAATGACAGAGCCAATACTAGCTCAGTGACTGGTATATAGTAGGTGCTTTATGAATGCTTTTTGATTGATTGATTAGAACCCCAGGAGTCTTCTGACTCCAAACCTAACGTTCTTTCCACTATACCAGGCTTCTCATAGCGAGGGTTCGGGTGCCAAGTCCCTCCCCACCTTCAGACTATGATCTCTCACTGACTACTCAAGCATCCATGTAGATTGTGCCCTGAATATACTGTCCAATGATACTGCTTACAGAAAGGAAATGAGGCCCAAAAACGCAAAACCTCCCTTGGATAAGTTCTGGATCCTCTCTAACCAAAGGAAAGTGTGCCCTCTGGTGCCTACCCTGAGACATAACTGCGTCTTCTGACTGCATCGCATCTCTGCAGGGCGGGAAGCCACGAACTGAGGAAGTCAGGGCCCTGTGATTGTTGTTTGTCCTCGGTTCTCGAAGAGGACCATGACATCAGGAAGGAGATATCGTGACTTGTAAGTAAAATGGGTTTAACTGAGGGAGGGCTGTGCAAAGTCACCAGCCTCACACTCTCCTCCAGTACCATCTGGGCCAGTGGCAAGATACAGATCATTACAACTGAGGATGGCCCTGGATGCAGTGGGAGGCCTTGGACTTTTTGAGCAAAAGTCTTTCCCAGATCTCAGTTTGTTTAAGGTAACACCCATTCAGTGACTAAGGCTAGGTAAAAATGAGGCAAAGAATGGCCTCTTTTACCTAGTCAAAAAATAAAATCAATCTAGGAGGGGAAGACTCTTGGAGTTTCTGGCCAAAACAGGGGCCTGTGAAAGGACATAAGGAATTGAAAAAAATTCCAGGAGCTTTCCTAGTTTACTGGGGGATCAGGAGAGCATAGGCCATCTCTGCTCTGGACAGGCAGGGGCTTTTCTTCTGTGTGGGAAAGGGTAATCTCAGAGCACTGACCCATTATCCAGAAGGAGGGAGATGACAGACTACCCTCTTTCCTGGTCAGACAACATCTAGAGTGTTCTGTTTAGTTCTGGGTTGCACATTTTCAAAAATACATTGATAAGTTAGAGTGGATGCAGAGGAGATGACTCAGATGGTGAAGGAACTGGGCACCAAAGACCAGTTGAAGAAACTGGGAAATTTCACCTCAGAAGACTGATGAGGGAGGGGTGAGAAATGGGGCAGGCTAGCTGTTTACAAGTATCTGAATGGCTCATCATGTGGAAAACAGATTAGATTTGTTCTACTAGGCTCCAGAAGGCAGATATAGGAAAAGAGAGAGACAGAGAGAAAGAGGGAGAGAGAGACAGAGAGAGAGAGAGATTTAGGTTCCATATAAAGGAAAATGTCCTAACAATCCGAAATATGCACAAATGGAATAGTAGTAACTCCCAATGCTGGAGGTCTTCAAGCAAAAGTCTGGATGACCACTTGTCTGGGATGTTATATATAAGGGGTGCTATTTGGGTTGGACTGGATAATCTTCCAACTCTAAGGGTCTCTCTCTCTCTCTCTTTCTCTCTCTCTCTCTCTCTCTCTCTCTCTCTCTCTCTCTCTCACACACACACACACACACACACACACACACACACACACACACACATATACACACACATTATTCTTTGGGGCAATGTTCACAAATCTCAGAGAATAGGAAGGGAAACCAAGCAAACCCTAAACCTCCTGCACAGAATGTCCAGAGGAGAGAGCCTGGCCCTAAACTGGGGCTCCTAAACTCTGTCCAAGGCGAGCACTTGTTCTGATCATTCCATCTCATTACAACCCATGAGACCTATGCATCTTCAGTTTAAAGGAAAGGGGAAATGGGGAAAGGAAAGGGACAAGATATGAACATAGATACCCACCCATCCTTCCTGCAAACATCAGGAATTCCACTGGACCTTCCCAAGACTAGAGGTCTGCAGTGTTAGACCCTTGCTCTCATCTGTCCACATGGGGGAGAAAAGGCACCCCTGGATTCAGTATTGAAACCAGTACAAAGAAGATAAGCCTAAGTTGCTCAGTTTGAAGTCTGGGTCACTCTAGAGCAAATAAACTCAGTGAATAACCAAAGTCGGGGTTCTGTCTGGATGGGATCAGGTTTCGGTCTCAGGCTATTTTCTCTGGGGCCAAATGCTCAAGTCACTCAACAGCTTCCCAGAGGGAAGGAGACTATTAAAGTGCCCTGTTCTGAAATTCCTGGATCAGAGCTCTTCATACAGGTCAGAGGTGGGAACAGGAATGAAGAATAGCATCCTAGTGACTAGACAAGAGAAAAGCTGGATTCAGGGACCATGAAACTTCTATATTTGTGGATGAATTCAGGAAAGGTTGGGACAGATGGGTAACCTATATGCTGAGGGCCTTTGGGATGGGGTGGTGTCTGGAATATATAGGTGATGTCTCAATAAGATGCAAACATCTCCCAGGGAAAGTGCTAGTGACCCAGAGTAGACAGATTAGGAAATCCTAAAGACAGAGAAATAGGAAGTTGCATCTTTATCACCCCCATAGAGCCACCAGCCGCCAGCCCATAGAGCCAATCTGTCACATGCATCTCATGTACTATGAGCCAATCTCTGAATCCCAAAAGTACCCTGGGGCCTAAAATTATTGAATATTGACTCTGAAAGCCCAGTCTTGGAATAGAAAATTGTAAAGGAGTCTTTAAAATGACAGATCCACAGGCCTAAATTCAGGGAACATGGGAAACACTCATCCTCCCTTTGCCCTCTCTATCCAGTAAAAGGAGGATTCATTCCCAGGGCTACAGCTCAATTAGCCTGGCCTGGATTAAGTAGCCCTGACAGTCCTCAAAATGCCCTGGGAAATTCTCTGGCCCCGGAGGGTGGTCCAGGGATTGGAGGATCCATTTGGTTTTCAGGGACACCCCAGATTTTTCCTGAGATGAAGAGGCTTCACGGATCCCAGGCTGAGCCTGACTGTAGGGAAGGTGGGAGCCCTTCCCATTCTGGCTCTGGCCCTGCTATCCCATGCAAACCACATGTGCTCCTTGCCCACCCACCAGTCCCTCCATAGATTCATGTGCCCAAGCTTCATCCACATGAGCAGGGGCCATGGTAGGCAGTACCTGTCACGTGTCCAGTGTGTCCCGAGTAGGGGAAGGCCCATGGGGGGCACCAGGGCCACTGTGAATGGGTGGTGCATGAGGCACTGAGTTGTGCAGCAATTGGGGTGGGGGGGGTTGAGGTGGTTGCAATTCAAGGGCAAGTGCTCCATGAGGGGGTGGGAAGTCGCGAACCTGGCGCCGGTACTCCAAGAAGGTACAGGTCTTAGTAGCCAATGCTACCACATTCTTGCCAATGAAGATAGTAGAGACTCGGCTGTCATGGAAGAGCACCATATTGGCAGCACGCACTAGGACAGTGACTACATTGACAGTGACCAGGCTGAGCACAGGGTAGAGCATCATCTTCTGAGGGGAAATATGCTCACCCTGCATGCTGATCTCACTGAGTGACACACAGGGCAGGATAAGTAGCAACATGTAGCAGTAAAAAAACATAAGGCCCTCAGCCCAGAGAGGCAGCCCTGTGCGTGGAGGCTCCCAAAGGTTTGCCTGAATGTCCAGCAGGTCAAGCAGATCCAAGGCCACCCAGAAGAGGCGGCCACGCAGATCCTCCTTTTTGCGGAAAGTGCGCACGTACTCCATGCTGTCCAGGGCCACAAGCAGCAGGAAGAGTCCTGGCACACACACGGACAATAGGAGTGTCAGCGCCTTGCGTGCAACCGGATCAGCGGCACCACGCCGGGCAGCCTTGTAGTTCTGGAAAATGAAGTAAAGCTTGATCTGTAGCACAAAGATATAGAGGAACCAGAGGATCATGGCATAGCCACGCTTTGCAGTACGCACCTCAGCCCCAACCCACACGGCCACATAGCGCAGGACAAGCAAGAAGCACACATCACCCACCAACACGATGATACACACGCCAATCTTCCGTGGGCCCTGGCTCTGCTCCACAAGGTAGGCATCCATGAAGGCCATGCTACTCATGATGACCACTGTGGTCAGGCACACGTGGCGCTTGTCTGGTGGTGGGAGCACCATGGTGAGCCTTAGCTGCCTCTTGACCTCCCTCCCCTCCTCCAAGAACCTCACATTTGAGGGCCAAAAGTCTGGGGTCTGAAGTTGTCTCTCTAAGCCCCTAAAACCTAAAATCAACCCACCAAGTCCCTTCTGGAGCTTGAAGTCAGGTTTCTATATCTCAAGAGTTTGAAGTCTTACCCTGAGGCCCTAGGACCTGTGGTCAGCCCCCTATTCACAAAGAACCTGAGGTAAGCCAGAGATAAGGGACTTCTTCAGCATTCAATACACTCCAAGCACGCTCCAAATGAAGTTTGATCTAGGGCCTTCATCCAGCCCAAATAGAGAAGATTCCTTCACACCATAGAGGATGGGAGACCTCTTCTTCAGGAATGGGGATGCAACAGTGTGGCTTCCTGTGAAGAGGAAACCTCCCAATATCTGAGGATGAGAATAAGGTGAGGCCTGGGTGGGACCACAACTATGCTCTGGAGCTTCTCTATGGGCTTCCACCTGTCTGGCATCCACTCCTTCAGATCCTTCACACAGCTGGACCTTGATCTGGTCACAAACACACCACCTGAAGGAAACCAGAAGAAACACGGTGATGTCATCAGAACATGGTCTTAGCTATACCAACCTTAGGGTTGAAGGTAATCTCTGATCCTAACCCTTATCCAGACCCTCCCCCTCACTCAGGAACCAGGGACTTAGGTTAAGGTGACCCCTTCCTCCAAATGAATGGTCAATAAAGCAGGCTCCCCAACCATGGGTCTTCTTCCATCACGAATATTTTTTCAGCATTCAATCCTCTACCTATCCCATGGTCATGCCCCTAGCCTTAGTCTCCCTCTACACCCCAGGAACCCCTCAGTGATTCAGCTTGATCTGTAGCACAAAGATATAGAGGAACCACAGGATCTTACTCCCTCAGCTTCCCAATACCTCAAGCCCTGCAGCTCCAGTCCCCTAAGTCTATCAGTCCTCTTTCCTACTTCCTGCAAGCTCATCTAAGGAGACACTACAGCTGAGTTTTCCTCCAACAACAGGTAGCCTTTATCCCCATAAATGTCCTCAAAATGTCCCATATAGGTTTCAGGCTCTGGGGATCTCTAAAGGCCAAAAGGAATCACTTCTAAGATCCCTTAATAGATTAAAACTTGAAGCTGTGTGGCACATTAAAGATCATTTAGTCCAAATATTTTGTAAAAAGGAAAATGTTAACACCACTTGCAAAATTTTTTACCTCCTTACTTAGAGTGGGAATTTTTAAGTAATATTTTTTTTCCTTTCTCATAGGCATTTTCTCATAGAATCATAAATACAAAGTAATTGACTGTGTTGCTGATGATATTAATTCTGTTTTACTGTTTTATCTGCTACAATTAATTACCTATAACTGTCATTTAATTGTTTATTACTATATAGATTATATGTCTAATAATAATAGCTAGCATTTATAGCTATTTATAGCTACATATATCACTTTAAGATTTTGTAGAATGCTTTATTGATGCTATTTATATATATATATATATATATATATATATATATATATATATATATATCACTTTAAGATTTTGTAGAATGTTTTATTCCTGCTATTTCTTTGATCCTCATAAGCCCCCTGAAAGGTAGATGCTATTATCTCCATTTTACAGATGAGGAAAATTAAGCAGACAAAAAAGATTAACTGACTTGGCCCAAGGTCACACTGCTAATAACTATGCAAAGCCACATTTGAAACCAGGTCTTCTTGACTCCAGGTCTACTGCTCTATCTACTGTGCCCCTACGTACTTAAATAAAAATTTAGCATTATTAGTTTGGTACCTATAAATTTTACATTATCACTATTTTTATTTTTTTTATTTTTTCATTTTTTTTTCCATATGCTTTTGAGTTGAAAATTTTTCTCCCTTGTCCTCCCCCCCACCCTCCCCAAGACAGCGCACAATCTGACATAGGCTTTACATTTACATACCCTTGAAACATATTTTCACATTAGTGAAGTTGTAAGTAAAAATTAAAACCAATAGAAGGAACCATCAGAAAGATGAAACAAAACTCAACAGAAGGTAAAAATAAGTGATAGCGATTCGACTTCCAAAGAGAAATAGAGGAAAATGAGAGTGATGCAAGAAAATCATGAAAAACAAGTCAACAGCTTGCTAAAGGAGACCCCAAAAAAAATACTAAAGAAAATAACACCTTAAAAAATAGACTAACCCAAATGGCAAAAGAGATCCAAAAAAAGGAGAAGAGTGCCTTAAAAAGCAGAATTGGCCAAATGGAAAAGGAAGTCCAAAAGCTCACTGAAGAAAAAATACTTCCTTAAAAATTAGAATGGAGCAAATGGAAGCTAATGACTTTATGAGAAATCAAGAAATTATGAAACAAAACCAAAAGAATGAAAAAATAGAAAACAGTGTGAAATATCTCAATGGAAAAACAACTAACCTAGTAAATAGATCCAGGAGAGATAATTTTAAAATTATTGGACTATCTGAAAGCCATGATCAACAAAAGAGCCTAGACATCATCTTTCAAGAAATTGTTTCAAGAAATTGTCAAGGAAAACTGCCCTGATATTCTAGAACCTGAGATTCTAGAGGGTAAAATAGAAATTGAAAGAATCCACTTATTACATCCTGAAAGAGATCCCCAAAGGAAAACTTCTAGGAATATTATAGCCAAATTCCAAAGTTCTCAGATCAAGAAAATATTGCAAGCAGACAGAAAGAAACAATTCAAATATTGTGGAAACAAAATCAGGATAACACAACATTTAGCAGCTTGGAGTTCAAAGGAACTAGGATTACAACCAAGAATCACCCACCCAGTAAAACTGAGTATAATCCTTCAAGGTAGGGGCAGCTAGGTGGTGCAGTGGATAAAGCATTGGCCCTGAAGTCAGGAGGACCTGAGTTCAAATCTGGCCTCAGACCAAACACTTGACACTTACTAACTGTGTAACCCTGGGCAAGTCACTTAAACCCCAATTGCCTAAAAGCAAAAAAAAAAAATCCTTCAAGGTAAAAAATGGATATTCAGTGAAATAAAGGACTTAAGCATTCTTGGTGAAAAGACCAGAGCTGAATAGAAATTTTGACTTTCAAATACAAGACTCAAGAGAAGCATGAAAAGGTAAACAGAAAAGAAAAATCATAAGGGACTTATTAAAGTTGAACTGTTTACATTCCTACATGGAAAGATGATACTTGTAACTCATGAGACCTTTCTCAGTATTAGAGTAGCTGGAGGGAATATATATAGACAGAGGGCACAGGGTGAGTTGAATATGAAGGGATGATATCTAAAAAATAAAATTAAGGGGTGAGAGAGGATTGTACTTGGAGAAGGAAAAAGGGAGAGGTAGAAAGGGGTAAATTATCTCACATAAAAGGCAAGAAAAAGCTTTTACTATGGAGAGGAAGAGGGGGGAAGTGAGAGGGAATGAGTGACTCTTACTCTCATCGGATTTGGCTTAAGGAGGGAATAACATACACGCTCAGCTGGGTATGGAAAGCTATCTTAACATAAAGGAAAATAGGAGGGAAGTGATAAGAGAGGGGGGATGATAGAAGGGAGGGCAGATTGGGCAAAGGGGTAATCAGAAGCAAACACTTCTGAGGAGGGACAGGGTCAAAAGAGAGAATAAAGGGCAATGGAGAGATGCATGATAGGTAGACTTCTTGTCAGCAATGGATGTTGCTGCTTCACCCTTGATTTTATTGGAAAGGAATATAGTTCATCCCTATTATATATAAAGCAGGCTCTTGGTTTTAGAAAGCTATTATTTACCACGCTAAGGAAAAGTCCATTCATTCCTTTCTTCTAGAGCCTTTAACAGAAATGTGTATCTTATTTCATCAAAATCTTTTCCTGCATCTATTGATATAATCATATAATTTTTATGTTCTTTTTATTAATGTGGCCAATTATGTTTATAAAACTATATAGCTATATATAATGTTTATAAAATTATGTACCTTGGAGTATCTTGGTTCAAACCCAACCTAATCATAATGTATATTTGTGATATGTTGCCATAGTCTCTATTAATATATTTAAAATTTTTGCATCAATATTCATTAGAGATATTGGTCTCTAGTTTTCTTTCTCTGTTTTGACCCTCCCTGGTTTAGGAATGAAGATCATATTTGTATCATAGAAGGAAATTGCTATTGTTCTATAAGAAATGAAGAAAGAGAGCCCTGAGATGAACTATTCAGAATGAAGTGAGCACAGCTAGGAGGACGATTTATACATGACATCAATATTGTAAAAGTGAAAAATTCTGAAAAACTTCACTTATCAATAAAATGAAGAACCACGATTGCAGAGTACTGATGAAGAAGAATGCTGCCTACCTCAGCACAAAGAGCTAACAGACTAATATGCAGAATGAGAAATGCATTTTTGGACACAGCCAGCATGGGAAATTGTTTTGTCTGACTCTACTTATATAAGAATTCCGTGTTTCTTCCTTTCTTTCTCTTTTGTTTTCCCAGTGGGAATGGATAGGGGTGAAAGTGTAAAAAAAAATCTTGATAATTCAAAAAATACAAATAAATAAAATAAAGAACTATGAAGAAAAACCAAGTTGAAGGCTATTATCAAAATGTATGACAAAAGTGAAGAATCACTGGTGAATAGCCTATCATATTTCACTGCATAATCACTGCACCCTGAGGTTCTTTTAATTTTTTTTCCAGTCCAAAAATTGGTTTATAATCTTTCACCACATAATCATCACATGGTATAATTCTGTTCATCATGCCACCTGAAAGGTAAACAGAGCAGCAATGTATTCAGCAATGGCATATGGATATGCATTTATCTTACACACATTACGAACTGCAAGCCTAGAATTCTCAGCGCATGAACACTGTCAGCATTTAATTTTAATGTATATTCACGAGTATTCTGTGCATCCTAATGTTGCACCAAAGGCAGTTTAGTAATAAATGCTTTTTAAGTAATACCAGCACAATATTTAAAAAAAAAGCTTCACATAATGGTCACACCCTATTTTTTTGCCAAAAAAAAAAAACTTAGCCCTAAAATCTGCAACTGAAATACAGTATGTCTCCATGAAATTATGAGAAAGGAAGAAAGGGCTCAGCATGATTTCAATATGTTAGATGAATCCTTGAAGAAAACTTATGGGAAGGCATAGACTAGGGTTGCACAAGATGGGCCGCAACCTACATGGTTGGAGACAATATCCAGACTGAAGAAATCACAGAGTTGCTTACGTACTTGTTTTAAGTATATATACAACTACTTCCACTCCAGCAAGCATTTTTGGGCACCTATCATGGGAAAAGCATTGGGTTAAGGATAGGAATACAAAGACAAAATAAAATATGGTTCCTGACCTCAAAGAGTTTACATTCTACTGGAGGACTTTACATCTCATTTCTTGAATATGGATCATAATTGGAAATATGTTGAAGTTTATTTGCATCCATCATATATCACCCACAACTGTGATCCTTCAGAGACCTCAACCATCAACACAAGAACACTGATGTAAAAAGAAGGGTTTTTCTGTCAGGAAACAGTTTTGAATTGTTAAAAACACTACATCATTTCCCAAATGCAATCTAACCAGCCTTTTCCCTCTTTTTCATTTCTAGGCCCAGCTCATTGTCTATTGGCATATTGATATACTAACTCAACAAATCTTCTAACTGCCTATCTACATAATAGATGTTTTTATCTATTTGTTTTGTCCTATAAAGATTGCTTAACCAATCTGTTTTAACAAGCATGTTCTTCATTCAGGAGGCTCTGTAAAGCATTAGGCAGTCACCATAAATTGATATCATTTGCAGTACAGAGATTCTAACGGACCTCACCATCCCTCTTCCATTTAGACAATGCCTCAGTTGATGTTAATAATCAAGAGACCACTGGAAAAAAATATCTTTATGGCTCTATTTAACAAAGAATATCATATGGTTTCTATATACCCTTTACTATATAAAATTTCTATCAATGGCTTAGATCAAGGATAGAGAACATTATCCACTGAATGATAGAACTGGGATGCCAAAGGATCTCAAAAGGTGGGGGTGATATGTCAAAACTAATAAAAATAAACGTAAAAGTCTTACATTTGCATTTAAAAAATCAAGTACAGAAGAAGTGAGAGATATCTAGACAGTAGTTTATGTAAAAAAGATCTAGGAATTTTAGTGGACTGCTAGCTCCATTTGGTAACATAGAAGTCAAATTTGACACCACAGTGAAAAGTCTAAAGATATCTTAATTTACATTAACAAAAACACAATGTCCATAAGGAGGAAAGCAATAGGCCTACCATTCTCTGGCCAGGGGGCCAGATCACCCTGAAATCCTTCATTCTATTTTGGGTGCCACAACTTAGAAAGGATATTGACATGCTTCAATGCAACTGACCAATCAGTCAGCACTTATTTATTAAGCAAGCTAGGCACTAAGCTTAATGCTGGGAATAGAAAGACAAAAAGAAAAAGAAAGAAAGAAAGAAAGAAAGAAAGAAAGAAAGAAAGAAAGAAAGAAGAAAGAAAGAAAGAAAGAAAGAAAGAAAGAAAGAAAGAAAGAAAGAAAGAAAGAAAGAGAGAGAGAGAGAGAGAGAGGGAGGGAGGGAGGGAGGGAGGGAGAGAGGGAGGGAGGGAGGGAGAGAGGGAGGGAGGGAGGGAGGGAGGGAGGGAGGAAGGAAGGAAGGAAGGAAGGAAGGAAGGAAGGAAGGAAGGAAGGAAGGAAGGAAGGGAGGGAGGGAGGAAGGAAGAAAAAAGAAAGAAAGAAAAAAGAAAGAGAGAGAGAGAAAGGAAGGAAGAAAAAGAAAGAAAGAAAAAAAGAAAGAAAGAAAGAAAGAAAGAAAGAAAGAAAGAAAGAAAGAAAGAAAGAAAGAAAGAAAGAAAGAAAGAAAGAAAGAAAGAAAGAAAGAAGAAAGAAAAGAGAGAGAGAGAGAGGGAGGGAGGGAGGGAGGGAGGGAGGGAGGGAGGGAGAGAGGAGGAGGGAGGAGGGAGGGAGGAAGGAAGGAAGGAAGGAAGGAAGGAAGGAAGGAAGGAAGGGAGGGAGGGAGGAAGGAAGAAAAAAGAAAGAAAGAAAAAAGAAAGAGAGAGAGAGAAAGGAAGGAAGAAAAAGAAAGAAAGAAAGAAAGAAAGAAAGAAAGAAAGAAAGAAAGAAAGAAAGAAAGAAAGAAAGAAAGAAAGAAAGAAAGAAAGAAAGAAAGAAAGAAAGAAAGAAAGAAAGAAAGAAGGAAAAGGAAAGAGAAACAGTTCCTTTATTCAAGAAGCTAACATTTCATCATGGGAAACGTACATACATAAGTGTATACAAAATATATACAAAATAAACACATAAATATAAGACAATTGGAGATGAAAAGAGTAAGACACTAGTAGCTTAGAAGAACAAGAAAAGTCTTATGTAGAAAATGGAATGAGCTAAGCTTTGAAGGAAAGGAGAGATTCTACCAGGGAGAGAGGAGAAGGAAATGAATTCCAGGCAAAGATAACTGTAAAAAGGTATAGCAATAGGAGATAGAATGTTGTGTGTAAGAAATGGGAAGAAGGCAAGTTTAGCTAAACTACAGAGTTCATGAAGAATATATATAATAAAGCTGAAAAAAGCAGGACGTGTCCAGGTTGTGAAGAGCTTTAAATGTTAACATTTTAATTTAACCCCAGAGTTATTAAGGACCCGTTGGAATTTATTGAGTAGTGGAGCAACATGGTCAGACATGTCCTTTAGGGAAATCACTTTGACAGCTGTGCAATCAGAGGGTGCAGAGACAAGGAAAGGAAACTCATTAATAAGCTATAGCAATATTGTAGAAGAGATATGATGAGGACCTGAGATACAGTAGTAGCCATATGATTTTTAAAAGGGAGATAGATGTGAGAGGTATTATACAGGTAGAAAAGATAAGGATGAGAGTGAGGAGCTGAGGATTACTCCAAGGTTGTGACCCTGGTGGAAGCTCATAGAAGAGTGGGTAAGGGAGGAAGATGAGTTCTGTTTTAGACATGTTGACTTTGAGAGGCCCACAGAATTCTGGGTCTGGAATATACAATAGGTGGTTGATAACGAAGAACTGGAACTCAGTAGAGATACTAGGTCTGGATATATAGATATTGGATTCATCTGAATAGAGATGATATTTAAACCTATGGATGATGATATGTTGAGCAAGAAAGAGATTATAGAGAAAAGAGAGGGCCCAAGACATGGGACCCCCAGGATGATGACCAGATGGTGAAGGAACTGAAAGCTGAAAACCATGCTACATGAGGATCACTTGAAGGAATTTGAGATGGTTAGCTTAGAGAAGAGAATACTTACAGAGGCTATGATAGTTGTCTTCAGCTATCTGAAAGGGATGTCAAATAGAAAAATGGTTAAACTTGTTATGCTCAGTCCCTGAAGGCAAAAATAAGACAAATCAGTGAGAATAACAGAGATAAATTTTGATTCCATATAAAGAAAATTTTCCTAACAGTCAGCTGTCCAGAAGTGGAATCCTTCTTTAAGTGTTTAGCACTCTGCATTTGCAGTACTCAAAAGGAAACTAAATGATAACTTATCTAAAGTCCTATAGAAAGGATTTATGCTTGAGTAAAGTTTAAACTAGATGACACCTGCGTCCTCTTCCAACTCTAAGATTTTGTGGTTCTATGATTCTGTGATTTAAGGTGCAGGAAGGAAAAGAGCCTGGCTCTTCCCTCTCTCCTAGTATCTCTTATACTCTGTCACACACGCATTCAGCAACTATTTATTAAGTACTTAAACTATTCAAAGCTCTGTATACACATAGCTGCGGCCATGACCTCATGTGCACACATACCTATATACAATCCTTGCCCCCTTCTCCCTTATCCAGGACTCAGTCTTCTATTGATAGGCCTGTAGAAACTGAGCCAGAGAGAGCTATAATACTTAATACCATCCTCCACTGTTCAGTTCTCTGTGACCCCAAACTTGCAGGTTCTGCTATCTGCAGCACATATTCTCCTTACTCATAACTCAAACACTGATCTCAGGCTGTTGTCATATCACCAAAATATTTTCAGAAACAAAGTTTCTGAAACTCATGAAAACCTCACTATCAGAAAGAAACTGGGAGAACACTAGGTATCCCAGGGTGGAAGAATAACATGTAAAATTATTTTATTCATGTCTCCACCTCTAGGTCCCTCATCTCACCTGTCTCTAACTTATGGGAGGTAGGTCTTCCACTCATACTGTTTTCTCTGCCTGCCTTTGTCTGTACCTCTTTTTGAATCAGTGTCTCCTTCTCTAAATTTCTCTGGCTCTCATTCCTTTTCCTTTGTCTCTTCCTCTCTGGTCGTTCTATTGTCTCTCTTTGACTCTCTTTTTTGTCTCTGTGTCCCTTTCTCTATTCTGTCCCTCCCTTCCCACTCATTCTCATCTACCTCTATTCCTCTGTTTCTGTCTCTCTTTTGCCCTTCCTAGGATTAGAAACTGGTTTCTCTTTTTCACTATCTCTATTAAATTCATCGTACTTTTATGTCTAACTGAATTATTGCCTTGATGTCAGAGATGCCTGGAGACCCCTTTTCCTTCTGGACCCAATTTTATCCTTTAACTAGCTCTGAGATGTTCCTCATCTAAGGCTCCTAGGTCTCTTCCTATTGCCCCTAGAACCAGACTTGGGAGGCCAGGTCCTCCAAGGGAGTTGGGGAGAGGAGGTATAGTAATCTTGCCCCCTAAACCCTGGACAATACTACCCAAACCATTTTCTGCCCCCCTTTCCCAGATATAGACTTTGTCACCCAGTCTCCTTCCCACAGCCAAGTTCTGCCCCAGATACCCATACTCTGCTTTACCTCCATTATCTTGAGCCCTAGCTTTCTAGACTCAGATCCTGTTTAGTCCTCCTGCCCTGGGGCTTCATCCACAGACCAGGCCTGATGCTCACCCCCTCCCCCCACACACACACACACTCCCTAGGCCATGTTTACATTTAATTTTCTAAGTATATTTTTCTTACTCCAATAGAATATAAACTCCTTGAGGGAAGAATCTCAGTTGTGTCTTCAAATCACCAGTGCTTCACACAGCGTCTAGCACACATTAGGTGCCTAATAAATGTCTGTTGAATGAATTGAACTTATGGATGCTCTTCAGAAACAACATTGGTGACGTACCCAATTATTTGACCCCACTCTAATCTGTGGATTATTGGAGCTTTTTTTTATCTTCTTCACTCTATTTTATCCTTCCCTCCTCATCTATACCCCAGTCCCAGACAGACATTCTCTATGAGAACTGCTCCCCAAAAGTCTACAAAGGAAGACAGGAGGTCCGATTAACCCTGCCCCACCCCCACCCCAAACTCCTGCCCCAATATAATCAGATTGAAGGCTGTGTTTCAGCTCTAGTGATAACCACCCAAATATTGCTGGAGCAGGCCTTTTTGGGGCCTCAGTTCCCCAACACTATCCCAAAGGCTTCCATACCTCAAAACTCAGGCACCCCTAGTTCCCTCAATTTTATCCCCAATCACTCCATCCTCCTCACCTCTGATCCACCCTATTACTCTATTCCTGGCCCCCTATTTTTGGCCTAATTGTCCTCTCCCCTATTTCTAGACCCCCACCACTACCAACTACTGCCAGTTCTCCGATCTCTGACCCCCAATTCCCTCCATCTTCCTCATCTCTTCCTCACATATCCACACCTCCCCCTCCACAGAAAGGATATGCAGGGCCTCTGGATAGGAGTGGGGGAGGGGAGCAGCTAAGCACTCAGAGGCACGGAGAAGGGGACAGATGTGGTAAGGGTCCTCTCCTCTTCGGGCCCAGCTCGAGCTGCGAGTGTCCAAACTCACGGATGTCCAGTTCACTGGCCGCGGGGATTGTCCAAATCACCCCAAACCCTTCCCAGACCCAGGAGCACCCTCTCCCCAATCTCATCTCCCTGGTTCCGGCTGCGGCCCACCTCCC